TTTCTTAACACCAAATACTTGAGTTAGGTCCAATGTCCATTTTCTTAACACCAAATAGCAAACGACATAGTGGCTCTATTCAATTTATGTTGAGTAAGGATGCAACTATCAGATGATATACAGTTCTAGTTTTGAAAATCAGCCCTTGTCACCCCTCCTCATTCTGTTCTCCAAGTTGGGCGCAGGGGTTTCTGCTTCTTACAGGATTTTGATTTTACAGATCTTGGACTGCGACAACCTAGGTTGGAAGGGGAAGAATATTTGTCAATAGTTGATGAATTTGTGGAAGCTGTTCATGCTCGTTGGCCAAAGGCTGTTGTGCAGGTCCATTTATTATTAAAGAAAGATATGTGATACTATTTTATTTCTATTGCACTGATATATCTTAATAATGCTAGTAGTTTGAGGATTTTCAAGCAAAGTGGGCTTTTGAGACGCTGGATCGCTATCGGAAAAAGTTTTGCATGTTCAATGATGATATACAGGTAGTTTGCTTGGTCCCCTATTTTTTCTGGAGGTTATTTGTTGGCCCTTGTTCTCCTTTCTGCAGCCACCACTGACGGAAAGAATTATCTTCTGCTCTTCTTGTTCAATAGGGAACAGCTGGTGTTGCTCTTGCTGGGCTATTAGGAACTGTTAGGGCACAGGGCCGGCCACTGACTGATTTTGCCAACCAAAAGATAGTGGTAGTTGGAGCAGGAAGGTAATGGCAAAATTAATTTTGACAATCTATCCTAGGTTACTAATAAATTCTTGTCTTATTTAGATGCCTGTTTGAGGTGACTTAATTGTGCGTTCTCTTCTTTATTAATTTATGGATTTCAGTGCGGGGCTTGGTGTTCTTAAGATGGCATTACAAGCCGTTTCAAGAATGGCTGGACCATCAGCAGATCCCCACTTTTTTCTTCTGGATAAAAATGTGAGGTTTTGTATATATACAGATTGTTTATATTCCATGTTGATTCAGAAAATGTAAATGTGTTCCCTCTTTTTGCATGTGTCTTTTATCAAATATGTTTAACCATGCTAGCATTTTAGATTGGGAGACAAATCAGCATCAAATATAACTGTATTATAGGTGAAAACAATGTTTCATTCACTAATCACATGAATGGGCCTCTGGGCTTTGTGACAAGTACCATATGTTTTTCTGTCCATGACATCAGTTGGTGTAAAAGATTTGCTTCCCTCCAACATGATCGGTAATGGTCATTGGTGATTGTTGATGCAGGGTCTTATCACAAAGGATAGGAAAGATATTGATCCAGCAGCATTACCATTTGCTAAAGCCCATCACGAGATTGAGGGGCTAGGACTACAGGAGGGAGCAGGACTTGCTGAAGTGGTAATGTTAATAGAATCTGTGGGATACAAAACTAAGTTGCTCTTAGTAGAAGGATTTCCGTGCTTTGTTAAAATTTGTTGACCTTCTTGATTATTGGGCTGTAGGCGACTAATAATTTCTATCTTCGTCTTAGTTCTTTTTATGCTTTCCAAGACAATAAGGCTGGCGTTAAATGTTTGTCAGGTCAAAAAGGTGAAGCCTCATGTACTTCTTGGTTTGTCAGGAGTTGGAGGCATATTTCATGAGGAGGTGGGTCATGTACTTTGTTTTTTTATTCTTCTTTAGCATTTATTTACGACGCTCAGAGATAAGAACCGTGTCATTGGATCAGCTATTTTCAATTGTGACATCTAGCTTATCGTGAAACTTTATGGAAATGATTGGATCTTTAATTCTCTAGCTGGCCAAAGTTACTTAGCACATTTAATCATTTACTCTATATTTAACATGTAGGACAGTATGTTATTTGAATTTTTTTTGTCATATATCCACATCCGACTCCTTTGCTCTACCATAAATTACATCATGAAGTTATAGCATATTTATTCCTTATTTTCTGATCAATTCGCTTGCTTCATTACATACTTGTGAAGCTTATGCCATTGACAATCATATCTAATCTCATCTACCAATTTGCTTCCTATTCCTTTGCCTACCTTTAAGCAGGTTCCTTTCAGACATTTTTTTCCCCTTTTTCATCCCTTTTCAACAAACTAGTATTTCAAGAGTTTTCTAGGATAAATCATGAGAAAGAGATACATGCGACTGTTGAAGTGATCTCTTATTTTCTGGAATTTTCTTATTGAAGTATGATGTGGGGTGTTATTTTCTCTTTGGATGAAATCACTTGAACATTCTTTTTGATCAGTTAAGTCACTTGAAAGTTTCTTGCAGTTAGTCTGTTCCGTCGATATCAACTTGTGTTTGTCTTGGTGTAATGTTCAGGTGCTGAGGGCCATGAAAGAGTCAGATTCTGTTAGACCTGCAATTTTTGCCATGTCAAATCCTACAAACAATGGTTTGTCTTCTCATCCATCTTTTGCTTCCTCAATCGGCTGTTTGTCTTGATCTTGCATTTAAATTGTATATTCTGTTCAACAGCTGAATGCTGTCCTGTTGATGCTTTCAAGCTTGCTGGAGAAGATATTGTTTTTGCTAGTGGGAGTCCCTTTGCAAATGTTGATCTAGGTAGTTTCTGGTTCCTTGAATGCATTTTTTCTCTGTATCCTTTATGCACTTGTTGTAGTCGATGAGCAACTCCTCTTCATTTGTTCATCTCCCCTTCCCAGTTTAAGCCTCTTTTGTGCTTATTGATGACGTATTACCTCATGAATCCTATTCTAATATGTTCTCAGGGAATGGTAAGATAGGCCATGTAAATCAAGCGAATAACATGTATCTCTTCCCTGGGTAGGTGCTGATTGTAAACCTATGTTAACTGTTTGAATGTGTTGCACTCATCTAAGATTATTGTTGACAATTCAGCATAGGGCTGGGAGCTCTTCTTTCTGGCGCTCGAAACATAAGTGATACAATGTTAGAAGCTGCTGCTGAGTGGTATGATCTGACAATCCTGTCTCCTTGTACTTGATTTGACCATCAGTGGTGTGAGCTTTTCAGTTTGTATTGTGTGTTTAGTTTAAAGCATGTGGTGCAACAGAAGCTTTTCTTATCTATACATTTACTGATTTGTATATCTATTTTGATCGTGCAGCCTCGCTTCTTACATGTCCGATGACGAAATCAATAGAGGAATCTTGTATCCATCCATTGACGAGTAAGTTCTTGGTTTTGGAGAAAGTATTCTTTGCTCATAGAGTTTTATTTGGAGATGTGAAATCTTAAGCACTAAAATTAGCTCCACCCTGTCCCTGCAATGACTAGATATGACTTGACTGATTGTTGCAACTTACAAATTTGATATCATTTTTTCATTCTGTTAGTTGAACATATTAGCAACTGGTTTTGGCCTTATAGGATTTCTAGGTCACATGCTTTTTGCTGTCCCCCTTGTTACTACACCATTTAACTGTAATATGCATATTTGAGGGAGTCAAATTAACAATGTACAAAATTTTGATGACAATGATGCTTCAATTTCAAGGCGCAGCTTTATAAAGCACAAACGTCTAGGTTTATCTCTCCTGATTTTGATTCTCTCTGTTACATGACAAGGAATGCACACTTACTTTGCTGCTATAATGCAACATTAACAGTAAAGTGACCACTCTGATGAAATGCTGCTACACCCGAATCTTGTTAGTTCACATGGGCAACACTTGATCACTCAGCTCATCCTTAGTTGCTCTTTTATACATTTGTTTATCTTTTTGTACACATGCATTTAGAGATCTAATCTTTGAGGCTATGAATACGTGCTACTAGTTAACCATATAGGTTGTGGTACTATTGATGCTGAATCATTTTGTTTTTCTTTTCCCACGCTTATTAATTTTCAGACTTAGTGAATAACCTTTCTGAGGGCATTTTGGATGTAATTTGCACTTTCAAAATGCATTCACTTAGATGTGGCAAAGGAAAAATTGCTTCCTACAGGTAATCGTATCTAATATCTCTTTTTGTGTGTGCAGTATTCGGGATATTACAGCAGAGGTGGGAGCTGCTGTTTTACGGGCTGCTGTGGCTGAAGACCTGGCAGAAGGTCACGGTGACGTTGGAGTGAGAGAGTTGCAGCATATGTCAAAGGTACGAAAATGTTACTAGAATCTACTAAACGAAATGAAACAAGAATCATAACGTTATATACAGTTAAGAAAAATGTGTTTCCGCCTTTTTATTTCAAGAGCTTCATTCGATGGATGCAGGAAGAGACCATTGAACACGTGAGAGAAAATATGTGGTATCCTGTCTATGGCCCTCTTGTTCACGAATAGTGAAGCACTTCCTGGGTTGAGATCACAGGTCCACGAGAAGTGGAGTATGGTCTGGTGCTCCAAATTGCCTGTAAAGGTCAAAAAGTTTCACAAACTTGACTGTATTAGGTGTACAATTACAAGGACAAATGTTGCTGAACCACGAAAGAGTCTAGGGCTCTTCAAATATTTCATTTTTTTGTTGTAAGCCATTCTTGTTTATCTCATGAAGCATATGTAACCTTTAAATTGAGGAGTAGGAGATGTATTTGTTATCCCTGAATAAAAGCTGATACTTTCTCTCAGCAGCACCGCCTATTGAACTGTATTCATTTTTTGTGGTTTTTTCTTCTTAAAATGAAATAGCATTTGAAACAATTTGATTTTGGCTCGAAGGAAATCGGCACAGAACGGAAAATTCACTTTCTCATGTTTGATTGGTCAAAATTTTTGAAAAACTTTTTCTATGTTTCGAGTACAACTCCCTACCGGAGGTGGAGGTGTCATTTCAACATTCAACACACCTCAAGTTCTCTCCTTTTCATTGCATCATACTCCATCTCCCATGATATTTATCTTAAAATTATATTCAAATACTTCTGATATAATATTCTTTTTTTGCTAGATACCGAACAAAAAATATAAAACATTGCTAATAAGACTTATGTGGTCCTATGAACTTATGGCTATCATTTCTCTCATTTAACAACCACACTTGTGTTTCTTGACAATTATTTTCTTAATTATTCAATAATAGTGACGCCTTCTTTTTCTTTTTTCTTTTAATTATATGACAAAAACTTTTCTATCAACATATAAATATATTCAACTCTCAAGTCTCACCTATACACTAGTGTATAATTTTTCTCTCATTCTTTTACACATTAAAACACACAAAAACTTCATACCATGGCTGAAGCTTCCAACTTCCTAGAAACTCAACGGTAAGTACTCAACTTCACTACTTTTTTAAAGCAGAATCTACCACACCAAATTTGGATTGATTTGTTACATGGTCACTCAACTAATAATTATTATCTTATTACCAGCTTTTTCTCTTTTGACTTTTTAAGATAATATAAGTATCGGAGAATGAATTAATTTCTTATGATTTGGATTAATTTGTTGTTATCATCAGGATTGCAGTTGTGAGTGGAGGCAACAAAGGGATAGGATTAGAAATATGTAGACAACTAGCATCAAAGGGAATATTGGTGATTTTAACAGCAAGAGATGAGAAAAAAGGGAATGAAGCTGTTATTAATATGGATGAACACTCTAATTATAATATCATTTTTCATCAACTTGATGTGACTAACATTTCTAGTATTGTAACACTCAGAGATTTCATCAAGAATAGATTTGGCAAACTTGATATCTTGGTATTTCCTCTTCCACTCCTTTTCAATTTTAATTCTTTCTATAGAATTGAATCCAAAGCTAAAAAAAAAAAAAAAAAAAAAAAAAAAAAAAAAAAGTCTGTCGCTAATCCTATTTAATAACGAATTCACGATTGAAAAATTATATAACTATGATGTGCTATGAAGAGACAGATAAAAAAAAGTGTTTTCTACCGGCTATTTAGAGATGGATTAGTGATTCATTTTGTATTAAAGGAAATTTTTCGTTTGAAAAATGTTTTCTAGAAAAATAAGTGGATATTTATTTTTATTTTCTCGTCTTTGGTTGATTAGCAAACAATATTTCCTAAAATTATTTGTAAATGATATTTTAAACAAATACTATATATGGTGGGAGTGAGGTGTAAAACCATTTGTGAAATTTGTTTTCCTTACTTTCATTAGAAAAATTAATTTTCTTTTTCTTTAAAGAGTTCTTTTTGGCATAAAAAATATTTTTAAAATTATTTGACCACTCGAATATGATAAAACCCGAAAAAGGTTTCTTTAATCAAGCTTTATGCATTAATCATAATTGATCTCAATTTTCTTTATAACTTTGTGTTTGCTTAATAGATTCATGAATTTGCTTAACCGTACTACGTGATGCAAATATAACAAATCATTATTAATTTGTAAATAACATATAATATAAACAGGTGAATAATGCGGCAATTCTTGGAGTGCTTTTAGATAAAGATTTCATTATAAACCCACAAGTAAGTCACTATATATCACATGGATTTCTCATTTTTTTTTATTTATTTTTTCGCCCTACGAGCTCCCAATTTTTTACTCCCTTTGATATAACTCAAACTCAGCACCCTCTTGTCATCGCGTCCATTCTTTCGTTCGTTTATATTATCAATTTTTCTAGCTTTCACTTTCTTTAAAAAAAAAAATCAATTTTATGGTTGTGTAAATTTTTTTGAGTACATTTGAAATGAAATAACGTTGTGATGGTCATGTTGTAGCAAAATTTATTCATTGAGAAGATGAAAGTAGCAACTCAAACTATTGATATAGGTGAAGAATGCATAAAAACAAATTACTATGGTGCAAAATGGATGATACAAGAATTATTACCTCTACTTCAATTATCCGATTCGCCACGTATTGTCAATGTCTCCTCCTCTACTGGAAAGCTCCAAGTACGTACATATTTTATCCAATCGTTATATTATGAACATCTATTTTTAATACAGTAACTGACACGATGTTTTGTTTCAGCATGTACGCAATGAATGGGCTATAGGAGTCTTGAATGATTGTGACAATCTAACAGAAGACAAAGTGGATGAGGTTTTGAATGTTTTTCTCAAAGATTTCAAAGAGGATTTGTTAGAAAGCAAAAATTGGCCTCTAATAGTATCTGCTTATACACTATCAAAAGCAGCATTAAATGGTTACACAAGAATATTGGCTAAGAAATATCCAAATTTTCTCATAAATTGTGTTTGTCCAGGTTATGTAAAAACTGATTTATGTTACAATTCTGGCATATTGACTGTTGAAGAGGGTGCTCAAAGTCCTGTTTGGCTTGCTCTTTTACCTCAAGGAGGTCCATCAGGGAACTTCTACAATAGGAAAAATCTCTCACCTTTCTAATGAAATTAAGAAATCTTGATCACAGCTATGTTGCTCGAATTTTTCAAAAAATGTTATTGTATTTGTGTTGGATTTTCAGTAAACATATAATACATAGTTTGCAGAGAATTCGACCATATTATAGGTTCATGGACAAAGTTCCTATTATAAGGTATAAATTGTAAATTGTAATACATAAGTTAATAATTATTGGATTATCGTCTATGGCATATGGCTTGATTTTGCAAATGTTTGGCTTATTGTATTTTTTTTAAAAAAAATGGATATATAACATATTATATAAAATTTTATAATCTTACCCTTATATTTGAAGTAAATAAAAAATATAGAATGATGTACGATATCTTTATATTTTGACTCAGTTTGTCAGTTGGATTTTTATATATATCTTTGTCAATTAAACATTTAAACTCACTAAAATGCAATACTGTAAGCCCTTTCTTATTTTATATGTGTGAGTGTAACACAGCCGCTCACACATGAAATTGTACATTATTTTATGAAATTTCATGTCATTTTGAATGCCACATAAGAAATTAAATATCACCTAAATTTCAATCATTCAAAAATAAAATTCAAAAACCTAAATGTTAGAAGTGTATAAATCGACTAAGATTCATAAAGAAGAATTTGAATTACAAAAATTAAAGAAACTAAAATGATTTGGGATAAAGTGATTTGGTTGGGTGAGGGGTGGGGGTGTGAGTGAAGAAGAAGGAGAAGAAGGGAGTGGTGTAGGGTGGTGTGGTGCGGGGCTGTAGGAAGAAGGAGAGGGTGGGGGGCACAAGGAAGAAAAAAGTCATGGGCGAGGGAGGGGTGAGATAGTGGCTGAAGGGTTGAGAACTTTTCGTAAAATGGAAAGACTAGTTTTGTAAATAAATAAAATTAAAAAGAAAATTTGATTTGTGGTGGCGTCAGCCGTCACGTATGCAAGCATAAGGTATTCAGTAATATTATTGCTACATAAGCTCAGTTAATGGTTATATGTGTTCAAGATATTATGTTTTAGTAAGTTTAAGGATTCAGTTGATGAAATAGTGAGTATAAGAGTTCAACTGACAAATGAACCCAAGTACAAAAACCTCTTAGACTATTCCGCCAATACAGAATATCTGAACATCGTTTCAGTTTCACAACTGTTTTTATGAAATCGCAGCCCGCTAGGGCGACCTCCTTATGCATGGACATAGAGACAACTAAAGGAACACGAAAAAGAAGTCCCTTTAGTTGCCGGGTCTGTTCAAACAGACCCCGCCAAGAGAATTTTTATGTTCTTTCGACCGCACTAAAAAAATGCATTATTATTTTCATAATAGTGTTAATACAAAAAATAGAAAAGATGATCCCAGTAAAGTTAATTCATGGTTGTTGTTTTTTTAATGAAATGAAAGAGTATTTGAAACAATTTGATTTGGACTTGAAGGGGAAAGGAGTTTTGCTTTTTTAGAAAAAAAAGATATGTTTGGTATAGAAAAAATTTCAACTTTCTCAGGTTTAGTTTAGTTAAATTTTTGGAGAATTTTTTAAGTTTCTTAAAGTGGAGAAATGTGACTTCTATAGGGGAAGTAGAGAAAAATTTCACAAGTGTCATTTCATATTAACTGCATTTTCTCCGACATTCAACACATCTCATGTCCATTCCTATTTTCACCATACCACATTTTATCTCCGACAATGTTAATTGAGATTATACACAATATTATATATATATTTATGTGAATGTCCATAAATTCAGGTGTAATTAACCATAACGTATAGCAACTCCTACTACCTCCTTAACTTTCCCCCTTTAATATTCCTTCATTACTTGGATGGTTAATGTCACGTTTATAACTAACTTTTTGTATGCCTCTAATATTATAAATAGAGACATAAGGTTCATATTAGATATTTGAAAGAGTAAGAAAAATTTTCATTGTCTCTCTATGTCTATTGCTCTCATCTTTTATATTTCTCATTCTGTTTTGTTTTAATTTTTCAATATAAATAATTTTAAGATAATATTTTTTTCAAAAAAAAAAGAGACTTGTATGCTCGAAGAACTCATGGCTGGCATTAGGCCCAATAAAAAGACTTGTATGGGCCAAGAACTTATGGCCGGCATTGGGCCTAATTTTCCATGATGGTGCAAAAAGTGGACTGGGCTCTAAGTTCAATAATAGTGGTTCAGTGTCAAATTAGTACACTGTTTCAAAAAACGTTTTTGGGTGAGTCCTGAAGCGAGCACACCAAAAATATTTTGATACATAAATTAAAGACGTAGATTCATAAGGTATAAGCCTTAAAATTTAAGGCGTAATAGTATATCCAGGCATTTTTAATTTATTTTTAAATTCTGTTTTTGCTTTAAATTATATTTTTATTATTGGTGTAACGATTTTTCTCAAATAGTAATTATTATACTTTTTTCTATATTATTTATTATGAATACTTATCTCAAAATAAAAATCATGAATCATGAAAAGGTTTACTTTTACTTATTTTCTTAGTAATAAAACTACTGAACATACATGAGACTTACTGTTTCTCGAGGCTTACACATCGCTTTTTACTATAAAACGTCGTGCCTATGCCTTCGCCTTTTGATACACTCTATTATTTCACTATAATTCATTAATATTATATATTTTTAAATCATGTTAAATCACTTGACAAATATAAATTAAATGAATTAGTTTATAGATACCGATAAGTATTTACCTTCTTTTCTTTTACGACTATACGCCAAAAACTTTTGTATCAAAAATATAAACTCTCACCTATATATACTTCATTATTTATTAATGAAAATACTACTACATAGTTTTTCTCACATTTAAACGCAAAAACACTTCATACTGTGGCTGAAGCTTCCAACTTCCTAGCAACTCAAAAAATCTACTTTCAATTTTATGGTGCTGAGTCTCACATTTGTGGGATGAGATAGACTTGAGTATCCTCCTCTCGTCATGAGCCAGCTTTTGAGGTTAAGTTAAATTAAATATTGTTGGATTATCTATTGAATATCTTGTTTTTGTAATCAAAATATTTAGAAAACATATTTTTCTTAGGAAAGTGCATGACTTTTCAATTGAAAGTGTTAAAAAAAAAGTTCCACTATTAACATTTCATATTGATCTTCTATCAATAATTATTCAGTCAATATGAGTCGATTGGAAGACTAGGTTTATATCTGTTGTATTTGTATAATTAATTTTATTATTTCTATTTCGATTATCTTATTATTTATTATTACTTTTATTTATTTTCTTACTTTGTTTGTTGCATGATTTATTTAGTACTGTATACCTGTATATGCTTAGGAAATAGAGCCAAATAGAAACTGAACAATCGAACTCCAGTGGACACTACTTGAGCCATCATTTTGCAATAATTAAGAAAAATCTCAAAATTAAGGTAATTTATTTAACACTACTTGAGCCATCATTTTGCAATAATTAAGAAAAATCTCAAAATTAAGGTAATTTATTTAACATTTAAATATTATCTTATATTTTATCATGACTAATTTATTATTATATTTCTTTTCAATACTTTTTATTATGCTTCTCTCATCCTAATTAATATCGAGACAAACTGCATATATATTATTTTTTCAAATTTCATTCAATACATTATCATTATTTACGTTTATTTATGACTTTCTGTCAACCTGCTTGTAGTTGGGATTCGGTTGCGCTAGGGAACTTTTTGTATAGTTTGTAAGTAATATTAATAAACTAAAATAAGAAGTAACTTTATGAGTCCCACATTACAATCATGATTATAAAATAAATTCTTTTGATCTTATTTAAATAGGAAAATGGTTAAATATGCCGCTAAACTATTTAAAAAGATTTAGATATACCTTTCGTTTAAAGTTTGATTCACTCATGCCCTCACCGTCCAACTTTTGGTCTGAATATGCCTTTATGGGTTTTAGTTGCCATGTTGGACATATCTTACTCATTTTTTCATTTGTTTAAATGTCACATGGAATTGTCATGTTATTTTGACCTAATCACACGACATTTATATGAAAATGAAAAGATATACGGACTCATAAAAACCTAATCCGACCCATAAATCAACTCGTTTTAAATTTACTATTTGACCCATTTTTGACAATTTTGCTTAGTTTTTATTTTTTCGGTAAGTCCCGAAAATGAGTAATTGATTTAATAAAAAATAGGAAAAATACAAAAAAAGAATTAACGCAAAAAAAAAATTCACAAATAAATATAGTAACCTTAAATCTAACATTTTAATATTTTTTTTAAATTTTTTTATTTTTTCGGTAAATCTCAAAAATGAATAATTTGATTAATAAAATAATATGAAAAGTATGAAAAAAATATAAATTAACGCCAAAAGTTCACAAATAAATATAATAACATTTCATTCTACAATTTTTTTAAATTTTTTATTTTTTTCGATAATCCCAAAAATGAGCAATTTATTAATAAAAAGGGGAAAATATGGAAACAAAATAAAAAATTTACGTCAAAATTCACAAATAAATATAGTAACCTTAAATCAATAATTTCAACAGTTTTTTTTATTTTATATTTATTTCATATTTTCCTATTTTTTATTTTGTGAATTTTTATGTAATTTTTATATTTTTTTCATATTTTTTTTGTTAATAAACTCATTTTGGGATTTGCTGAAAAAATTAAAAATTAAAAAAATATTGAAATTGTTGAATTTAATGTTAATGTATTTACTTTTTAATTTATGGCGTTAATTTATATATTTTTTTCATATTTTTTATTAATCAATTACTCATTTTCGGAATTTATCAGGAAAAAAAATTAAAAAAATGTTTAAATTGAATTTAAGGTTACTATAATTATTTGTGAATTTTTGGCGTTAAATTTATCTTTTTTCATATTCTTTCAATTTTTTTATTAATCAATTATTCATTTTTGGAATTTATTGAAAAAATAAAAATTAATTAGTCGGATAATTTATTTAAAAGTGGGTTGATTTATGGGTCGGATTAGGTGTTTATGAGTCCAAATATCTTTCCATTTTCATATAAATGTCATGTGATAAGGTAAAAATGACATGACAATTTCATGTGACATTTAAATAAATGAAAAATGAGTTGGATATGTCCAACATGTCAACTAACGCCCATAAGGGCATATTTGGACAAAAAATTGAACGGCGAAGCCATGAGTGAACCAAACTTTAAATGGAGGATATATTTAAATCTTTTCGAATAGATTAGGGGTATATTTGACCATTTTCCCTATTTAAAATGACAACTTCCTACATTGAAACTAGACAAGAATGTGAAAAGTATCTTTAAATTCCTATCCATCATTTTCCCAACCTATTAGAAAAAAAGTACTTGAATACAATGACTCTTTATTTACCCTTTATTTCATTTTTGGACATAAATTTATAAAGGAATTGAATTTTTTTTTTAATGAAAATCAATCTAAGTTAAATTTTAATTCTTTACAAGAACCTTGTTTCATTTTTTAAAAAATAATAATAAAAATACTTTACCAAATTTCTGTTACCTAGATATCTACGTGGATATCCATTTTGCCATATTTTTTCAGATATATAATAAGCTCACTGGAACATAATCCCAACAAAGCAATTAGCTAAAAAGATAACCAAAATTATTATCGATGGCAGAAGGCAGAGCAACAAAGTAATTTACTATACCCTATTATCTTATCTGATTTTATGTGTTATATTTTCCTTTTATTTGTTTACTTTATCTTATAGAGAAAAAATATATATAGATGTTTCTAAGTTTCAAATGATTAATTTTCATTTTCTATTTTATCATAACCATAGGTTTTAATAACTACATAAGCAATTTGAGTTGATTCAAATTATGTCACATAAATTGATGGATATGCGCGCAGGTATGCAGTAGTTACAGGGGCAAATAAAGGGATTGGATTTGAAATATGTAGACAGCTAGCTTCTAATGGAGTGTTGGTAATTTTGGGTGCTAGAAATGAGAAGAGAGGGATTGAAGCTTTGGAGAAACTTAAAGGCTTTGGTTTGGCTGAAAATGTGGTGTTTCATCAGCTTGATGTTGTGGATAATTCTAGTATTGATTCTTTGGCTGAATTTATTAAGACAAAATTTGGCAGGCTTGATATCTTGGTATAATGTTCTTGATTTTAAGTTTCTTGTTTTATGACCTAAACAATATTTGGTAAAATAAGCTGTTGATGTTTGTGGTGTTTTTTTATTAGGTGAACAATGCAGGAATAGCTGGAGTCAGTGCTGATGCTGATGCCTTAAGAGCTAAACGAGAGTCCAGTGGGGTAACCCCTTATAACTTGAATCAATTACTCCATCCGTTTCAATTTGTTGCGCTGGCTATTTACTTTTGTTGCTGCACCTGTGTTGGGTTCTCCAAAATTACACAACTTTTGGAGAATCCAACTCGCACTCATTAACATTGTTAAGAGTTTGAGCAACCTAGCTTAGCTTATGATGGAGTTTAAGAAAATAAAAAAGACTTTTGAATCTTGTGGTCTTAAACTAAAGATACTTAGAAGGTACCAAAATGACATTGATCTTGTGGTTAAACATGTCACATGGAAAATTAAAATTAAAGAGCTGTCAAACTATGAAAAAGAGCAAACACATTGAAACGGAGGAATAACTATATATGTCTTAATACATAATTGATTGTTGTATGACAAATATGAAGTGTAATATAGCAGTTTTGTTACCATTTTCATCAGGCTACTAATTGATGCTTATCATAGATATTTGCTTGTAACTTAGTGCCTAATTGATTGTGCAAGAAGTTATCAATTGATGCTTATTATAGAGATTTACTTGTAATTAAACTTCCCTGTAATTATAGTTACCGTCATTGCATCATATCATAATGTATGTTCTGTGACGCGTCTAAGAGAATTCACAACCCCGAAAGTTTCTTAATTAGGCACGCAATACGCTCAAAGCAACTATACCAGATCTTTCATTATACTACATGTTTGATCAATTTATGTGCAACTTGATTTGGATTGAGGTTTCTGCTGTAGCCCTGTACATAGTGATCTAGAAACAGAACAGGTCCTGTTTAATGAGTCTATTAGGTTCAACAATCAAGCAAATCAGTAGCCATAACTCTCGCTCGTTCTCTCTTTGTGGAAAATTAAACTTTTGACACGTAACTTCATCATTAGCACGCTTTATTAATCTTTCTCTGTGCTATAGACAGGAGGATCTCAAGTCAATTGGAATGAAATATTGAGTCAGTCATTTGAGTTGGCAAAGGAGTGTCTTGAGACAAACTATTATGGTGCGAAGAAAATGACTGAAGCATGTATTCCACTCCTCCAATTATCTAAGTCGCCGAGGATTGTGAATGTATCATCCTCTATGGGAAAGCTAAAGGTATTAACCTGGCAACATTTCTTCAGAGTTTTGTAATTTTTCAGTTTACTGTGATTTAACTTCTAGATTTTTATGTTTATACATGCTTGACTGGTGCAAATGATATATTCTGAAGTAAAAGTATTGATTAAAAGTTTGAAACTACTCAAATCTGCAATTGCGTACTAAAGAAATGCCGTTAAAGCAATTGATCCAGGAAAAAACTTTTCAGATGTGGATAGGAGGACCAGAACATGTTTACTAAGCCTTAATCCGACATCCGGAGGATAAAAATTATGAAGGAAATGTTTGTCTGCGGAACACTTAACAATCCCAGCAAACTTAATATGTATATCTTAAATGATTAAGGTTCTTTATCAGCAAATTTGATAATTTCAATTTTCTTGTATGTTAATTAGATAATATCCATGAGTAGTGAGTGAAAATTTCTGTTTGCATTTCCAGAACTTGAAACATGAATGGGCTACTGGAGTATTAAATGACAGCGAAAACCTGACAGAAGAGAAAATAGAAGAGGTGATAAATCAATATCTGAAGGATTTCAAAGAAGATTCACTTCAAGCCAAAGGCTGGCCTTCTTTAATGTCAGCTTACATAGTCTCTAAAGCAGCAATGAACGCTTACTCGAGGGTCATGGCAAAGAAGCATCCGTCTATACAGATCAATTGTGTCTGTCCTGGTTTTGTGAAAACAGATATCAATTTCAATAGTGGGATATTGTCTATTGAAGAAGGCGCGGAGAGTCCTGTAAGGCTTGCTCTACAGCCTGATGACGGTCCGTCTGGTTTGTTCTTTGATCGAAATGGAGTTTCATCATTCGAATGAGAGTATGTTGTTAATTGTGAACGCGCAGCTGATGATATAAGCTTAGAATAACATGTACTATGAATAATCTTCAATGAAATGCAATTGTGTGTTGTATCAACATTTTGTATGGATTATTCATAATTCTGTTTTTAGCTCATTTATCATTATCATAATATATAATATATTCGTCTAGTATTTGAAAATTTTTATATAATATATTCGTCTAGTATTTCAAAAATTTAGTCGAGTGATACTAATACTGAACGATCCAGATCAAAATGTATTAGAAAAAAAGATTTTTTTAAGACGACCATGGAGGAGATGCTGTAATTGTTGAGTTGTTTGAATTCGATTATCAGAGAGATAATCCTTTTGAAAATCAAATTGATATGAAAATTATAATGAATTATAGAGTGAAATCAGGGAGAGACAAAATGACTGAAAAAAAGAAGGGGAATCGTGGGTTAAGGCGGGAGAATGAATCTGGCTCACTTGAGATTTTGGAAAAAATAAGGGATCTTACATTTTTTTTTTTTGAATAGTAAGGAATAATGAAAAATAAAGGTGTGTATATAGGTAATTTATCCAAAAACAATATCATCTAACTTATCTTATCATAACTAATTTCACCATAATTTATCTGGTCATAATTAATCCCATCAGAACTTGAACTCAAACAAAACAATCCCTTAGTATTTTATGGTTATCAAAGTAGGGAGAATAGAGGTAGAAAATTATATGTAAAATAAATTCAGGATAATAAAATTTTAATATTAGTATAAATGTGTTTTTGAGATTTTGAATATAGTTTAAATAAGCTCACGTATTTCATTCCTTATTACCAAAATTCTTTTTTATTAATAATATAAATAATTAATCTGTCCTAGAAAATAAATTAGCTTTTGTGTCTTCATATAATTGGTCCTCTGAAGTCCAATTCAAACAGGCCCAACCTTGACCGCTCCTAACGGATATCTAAATCGAATCTTGAGGTATATGTATTACTTCAGATTCACATTTTTCACAATAACGACTTTCTTCTTCTTCTTGTTTTCTTAAGGAAGAGGGTGATGAAAAATTGTTGATTAAAGGGTTAATTTTTCGATATTTTACATTAGAAAGAGGAAATGACGGTCAGTTTCGAGTGCGGTGACGAAGAGACAAGCAATGGTGGCGAATTCATCTGGGTTGGAGAAATAATCAGGCCGAAAAATTGAATGCTGGAGCGTCCAAGAAACGACTGAAACTTTTTAACATCTCGAATTCATACAACTGTATCTGCTCGTAATGCGATTTCTCACTCCTCCAAATTTGTGAGTGTTTCTCTGTTTTGGTCTCTGTTTATTAATGTAGGAAAACAATTGAATTATACTGGGTTTTATCTTCTTTTTTTGATTACTGGTTAGATAATTCACTTTTTGTATGATGGGTATGAGTTTTCTTGGTTAAATTTTTGTATGTAAGGGAAATGTAGGTGGGTTTTGTGATTTCTTTTTGGGGGTTTTCTTCTCGGTTCATTAAATAAGTAAAATGGTTAATGTTTCATGAAAAAATGATTGCAGATAGTGGTTAAGAATTTAGTGATATGAGGGTTTTGCGGGATTTTTTCTTTATTTGGTCAGACTTAGTGATATTTGGAATTTGAGTTCTTTGTTTATTGACTTCCCTTGTATAAATAAGTTCACTAGCAGGGAATGATTTAGTTATCAAGGGATTTGTTTAATCTTTTTTATGGTTAAAGAGTATTATGAATGAAAAATTTGGAACAACTTCCCCCAATTCCTGCTTTTTTGGTTTTTTCCTGTATTGTACTGTTCCTTCTGTTTATAACTTGAGTTATAATGACCTTAAAATATATTCATTTTTCACTTCAGTATGATTCATAGGACTGCCTTTTATGGTCTTAGACAAAAAAACTAAAGAGTTTGGTTGTGCTGTTGTTTTTCTCTAGAAATACGGAGGTTCCAGATGCAATGGAGATGATATTTCAATCTGCCCTAGCTTTGGGTAGAAAGGGAGTTGTAAGTGTTCTTATCTTGGTCTATCCTGGTGTTTTTGTTGAATCGAATTCGAACATAAACAAAGTGACTTTATTATAGAATTTTAGGACAGAAGAAATCACATAGTGATTAGTTTGTACACTTGAATCAAGTTAAACTTTCTCAGCATCTCACCCAAAGAAGTAGTGAACGAGAGCACAACTTTCTAGTCCTCTAGCTCTCATGCTTCAAGTGCCTGATAGTTGCAGCCACCCGAGTTTCTCTCAAATCTTCCAGTCGTTCCCTCTTTTATCTTCTAAATGTATTCCTAAACAATAATCTCTCATTCACTGGTGTGTAATTATACTCCAGTAAATGACAGTAGATGCCTGATTCAGCGACTTTTTGCCACAGAAAAATCCAAATGGAGGATATATACTTGTCTAATTCTTCTGTTTTTAAACTAAATAAGGGCATCAGTCTGACTTGTCTAGTGCACATACTCGTTTTGATTCACTCTATTACTTCTGGTACTGTCAAAATTTTCAGCATTGCTCACAGAATAGTATATCAAACACCCAGGAGTTCACATGTTTTCTTCCTTCCTTTGTTTACAGTATCACTCTTTATGGTGTTCTCTTCATCTTATTGACAATTCAGCAGTCCTGTTTGTTTGAAGCTCTTCTAGTTCAACAAATTTTTGTCTGCTCTACTAAAGGTAATTTCTGATAAGTTTGCATGTGGAGAGAAATTTTTGTTTTTATATTGCAGTTATATATGTCAAACCTTATTTGCAGGTACATGCGTTTGTTGCTCCCAAAGTTATAGATGGGAAAAATACACCCTCTCCAGTTAGGGAACTTGGAACGGGAGAGATAACCCAGGCTCTGGAACTAATTGATGTTTGCTATGAGCAGGTTTGATAGACTTCTTCTTAAATTTTTCTGATTATGTGCATAGTAGATGCATGTTTCGCTGTTACTTATCCTCAACCACCCCCTTCACCCCAACAAAATAAAAGAGGGAAAGAGAAATGCATTTAGTGCTGTCTGGTCTCCTTAGTTATGTAGTGTGTGTACAAGTTACAAACTGTGCATTTTTCTCCTTTTGGCCTTGTCTGGTGTTTTCTTATTTGAGTGTTGTGCATTGTCTTTAGTCTTGGTATCCTTTCTGATAAATCCACTGAAGTATAAAAAAAACCCTTGGTTTTTCTCAATGTTCGATTAAACTCCCTTTTATAGATGCTAATTACACTTAGTCGTTGAATGTTGTTGAATATCAGTAATTACAAGAAGTACCCAAACTTGTGTATAAAAGTGGAGCACAAAAATTGACCTTTTCTAAGAAGATGAGTCACTCCTATAGTCCTTTTAGGTTTTTAAGTACTAGCAAACTCAGAAATTTTAAAAAGTTTTCATGTTGGTGGAAGACTCTGCATGTGGAAGTTTCACAAAACAGAACGATATCAAAGTCAAATGAAGTAAAAGGCTGCAGTAGGTTAATGGCTAGTGTGACATAGTCTAAGGTTTGATGAATCATTTCAACTGAATGTACTCAAAGGATTCATGCAGCCGACCTTAACTAATTTGTGATTGAGGCATAGAGAAGATTATTTATGTTGATTCTTACCTTTAAGGGAACTTTAGCTATCAAAATGGAATAAGCTAAAGAAAAAGCAGTCAGAATTTCAGCTTTGTAACTTCTGTCTCTTTCAAATAAATAGCTTAAAAATAACTCCGTTAGGTTCCTCATTCAATGACCATGTGCCCTATGCTTGCATTCCAACTACACTATCTTTCTTTCTCAATCTCTCCTTCACTTGGTAATGCTTACATTCACTTCTGTTAGTGTGTAAAGGATTTTGTTTAGGTGTTTTCACGCGCAAACTTTCGCACCCTGTTGCTATTCCGAATTTTTGAACTCTTTTTAGCTACTGTTGGGTTTACTAATAAGCCTGTTTCATGCAGGTACCATGGGGGGCCTCGGGGCACAGCGCCTTGAGATCTAGGGGTGGGTGACGGGCCTCAAGGCACGACTCATCGAGGTCTGGGGGTGGGTGACGGGCCTCGGGGAATAGCACCTCGAGTTTTTTTTTTTTTGGGGGGGGGGAGGGGGGCGGGCTCGGGTCACGGCGTCTCGAGGTTGGGGGGTGGGGGACGGGAACAGGCCTCGGGGCACGGCGCCTCAAGGTTCGTGGGGTGCGGGGACAGGCCTTGGGGCATGGTCCCTCGAGGTTCTAGGGGGTGGAGGGGATGGGCCTCAAAGCAAGGTGCCTCGAGGCTGGGGAGTGGGGGAGACGGGCGAGGGGCACGACGCCTCAAGGTCCGGGGGTAGGGGGGACGTACTCGATGCACGACGCCTTGAGGTTAAGGGGGAGGGGAGGACGGGCCTCGAGGTCTGGAGGATGGGGGGGAGAGGCCTCTGGGCACGACGCCTTGAGGTCCGGGGGGAGGGGTTTCGAGGCACAGCACCTCGAGGTCCGGGGTGGGGGGTGGGCGGAGGGGTCTCGGGGCACGGCGCCTCGAGGTTCGAGGGGAGGGGGGATGGGCCTCGGGGCACGGCTTCTCGAGGTCCAGGGGTGGGGAGAGGGGCCTTGGGCCACGGTGCCTCGAGGTCCCCGGAGGTGGGAGGAGGGGTCTCGGGCACGGCGCCTCGAGGTCCGAGGGGATAGGGGGATGGGCCTCGGGCCACGGCTCCTCGAGGTCCCGGGGGTGAGGAGAGGGGCCTCGAGGCACCACACCTTGAGGTCCGGGAGAGGGGGCGGGGGGGGGGGGGGGGGGAGGGGCCTCGGGGCGCGGCGCCTCGAGGTCCGGGGGAGGGGTCTCGGGGCGCGGCTTCTCGAGGTCTGGGGAGGGGGAGGGGCCTCGAGGCGCGGCTTCTCGAGGTCCGGGGGAGGGGGAGGGGCCTCGGGGCGCGGCTTCTCGAGGTCTGGGGGAGGGGGCGGGGGGGAGGGGCCTCGAGGTTCGGGGGAGGGGAAGGGGCCTCGAGGTTCGAGGCGCGACACCTCGAGGTCCGGGTGAGGGCGCCTCGAGGGGGAGGGGCCTCAAGGTCTGAGGGGAGGGCCCTCGGGGCGCGGCGCCTCGAGGTCCGGGGGGAGGGGCCTCGGGGCACGACGCCTCGAGGTCCCGGGGGAGGGGCCTCGGGGCACGGTGCCTCGAGGTCCGGGGGAGGGGCCTCGGGGCACGGCGCCTCGAGGTCCAGGGGGAGGGGCCTCGGGGCACGGCGCCTCGAGGTTCAGGGGGAGGGGTCTCGGGGCACGGCGCCTCGTTGGGTGGCGGGAGAGGGGCCTCGGGGCATGATGCCTCGAGGTTTGGGGTTGGGTGGTGGGGGTGGGGCCTCGCATGGCGCCTCGAGATCTGGGGTTGGGTGGCGCAGGCGGGCCTCGAGGCACGACGCCTAGAGATCTGGGGTTGGGTGGGGGTGGGGGGGGGCATGACGCCTGGTTTTTCCTTGAGGAAGTTTTAAATTTGATGTTTTATGGTTATAAAGTAGGTGCCGTGTTGGGCAAACATTTTAAAGAAGTGGTTTAAGGTCCCTTTTCCTTGTATTTTCTTGACATGAACGGGATCAAGAAAATGCTTGAGGGTTTTTTAGTTGACAGCTATTGCTACATATAGATAGTGTGATGCTTAGGTATACAGAACTCTGGAGGATCCCATTTACACAAACAGTGTGAAATATCTCCTAGTGGACAGAGATGATGCATCCACTTTCACATTTATGACGAAAATCTAGGTGCATCGGTTAGCCAGCCACATTGGAAGCATTTAGTGTTTGTTGGAAAAAGGCACCGACCAATGTAGAGTAGGAAATACAGAGCTTTATTGACTTTTGCAAAGTACTGATAATTGCCTTTAGTTGCTGAGGCAGACTGAATGATTGAGAACTAGTTGAACTCTCCTAACTAAATAAACTGTGTTTCTTGTCTGATGCGGGTTGTGCTCAAGTGGTGGCTTGATTTGGCTGGCATGTGTCTTATCTCCTTACATTACAAATTCCTTTAAGCTGTTACGTTTCTCATGTTGAGGTTGATGGTTTTATAGTTAACAACTGTTGTTAAGTTTAGCCAATAAATGTAATCATGTCAAAAATATTCCACATGAAAATTCTGGAGGATCCCATTTACACCAACAGAGTAAAGTATCTCTGTGGTTGATGAAGATAAATCTGTAGGTGCATGTGTGTAATCAGCCATGTTGAAATTGTTTACTGATGGAAAATGAACATTGACCTATGTAGACTGGAAATGCAGAGCTTAATTGGCTTTCCAATATACTTTTTATAGCATTTGCTAAGGTAATCTGAATAGTTGAGAATTAGTCAAGTCCTCCCAACTAAATAAACCAACTCTTCTCCTTGTCTAATGTGAGTTGTGGTAATTTGGTAGCTTGATTTATCTGGCTTGTGGTTATTCTTGAATAGAGATGATGACAGAGAGGATCGGAAGGCAGGACAAGGAGGAGGACAGATTCTTCTCTCGTTTGATCGGGGGAATAATGAGTTACATGACTTCACTGTTCTCCTTCGAAGAACAAATCTAAATAAGTTGTTAATAGTAAGTCTTTAACCAAGTTAACTAAGAGAAATGAGATTCCAATTATGTTTTCTTAGTAATTATACTACTTTAATCCATTAAAATTAATATCTTAAGAGAAATCTATTTATTTAATCAAAGATAATTTAAAAGTATATAGATAAATGAGAAGGGACATCCAAATTTGTTCCGTTTCCATGAACCGAAAACTTATCCATGATTAAGTTACACCACCTGGATAGTGGCAATTAGAGCTGATAGTTGGAAACAAATCAGAAAACTTGATAAAAAATGAGGTGTTTTCTTAAATTTGTAACCTTTTAAGTTCCTTTTTGATGTTTAGTTAATGCTTATGCTAAAGACATTTTAAGCTTCTGTCTAGATTGTGAAACTGGTGAACACTTGACAGTTTAAGAATTCAGATGTTTGGGATGAAACGTTTTATTGAAATGTTATCATTTGAAGAAGTTAACCTGATAAATCATGCTAGATAATTGCTCAGTCACCTCTCACTTCTCTGAAAAAAGACGTTGACCATTGAATGTCTTATATCTAACTTGAGGATGTGAAAAAAGTTCATCTGCAAGTCCCCCTTCCTTCATTTGGGAATTTCGTTTTTTTGAAATTGAGTATATTTAGCGGATTTGCCTTTTGCTCAATATAACTTCTCCCTTGCCAAAATGATTAATTCTAGTTTTTATTTTTCTTTGGTTGTGTGTCAGATTAGTCTTGACAGACTTTTTTTTTTGCAGGATGTCAAATCCCCAGAGTCAACAATATTGCAATTCATTTTGTTGCATATGCCTTATTTGTCACTGTGCATTTTCAAAGGCAAAGCTTTTCTAACATATAATTTTACAGATATTTGATGGTCATGGAGGACCAGAGGCTGCAGCTCATGTGAGGAAAATTGTACTCTCATTATTATTTACAGACACCATTTTTCCTGAGACTTCAGAAGTTGATGATGCATTTCTAGAAGGGGTGGAGAGTTCTCTTAGTAAGAGGTTTCTTCTAGCTGACCTCGCTTTAGCAATATTAGCAGCTCTTGTGTTGGGAAGGTAAGATCGTGATTCATCGTGATGCACCTATTATAAGATTAAACATTTTATTTTATCATTAATTCGCTAAAAGATTGTGGGAGACAAGGGAGAATGATTTAAAGAATTAATGGTAAAATAAAATGTTCAATATTATATTTTTAGTAGGTCGGGTTAAATGGAGCAGGTCATTATATATTTGGTTTTTAAAATTTTAATTTATAATTAAAATTTCATGTCACTAAATTTTAATGAAAAAACAATTAAATAGGTTGAGTGACTTTCTATGCAAAATGACGTTTGAGTTGAAAATGAAAGTTGAGTGATTTTCTGTGCAAAAGCATTCATAGTTGAGTGACTTTTAAGTTGAAAATGAAAGTTGAGTGATTTTCTGTGCAAAAGCATTCATAGTTGAGTGACTTTTAAGTTGAAAATGAAAGTCGAGTGACTTTCTATGAAAACAATCGAGAGTTGATTGACCATCCAAGTTATTAACTCCGACTATTTCGTAACCATTTCTACTGAAAATGAAGTAAGACAAATTATTTCATTTTCAAAAAAAAATTATCATATATTTGCGATAACATAGATTAAAGTTAATTGATACGTAAAATAGTTTAATTAATTGTGCAGGAAGAGGACGAAAGTGTTGTGGAGAAATCAATTGATGGTATCGTTACAAATTATGAGTTGACAAAACAACATAGAGACAAACTTCAACTCTTATTCACCAAGGATTGTTAATGTTGCTTCTTTCTTTGGAACTATGACCCTTAACTGTGAATGTGCACAAGTAGATATTTAAATTTGTATAAAATTGATTAAGTAGACACACGTGTTCTACATGGCATGATACACTTTTGACGCAAATTTTCCATGTAGGACGAATGTGGCACTTTGTTCAATTTTATACAAGCTCAAGTGTCTACTTGTGCATACCTAAAGTTAAGGATCATAACTGCTAACTGACTTCAAGTTAAGGATCATGTTTATATATTATGCCAGAATAAAAGTGATATGGGCAACTTGCTTTTATGTAAACCTAGGAGTAGTATATATACAATATATAATGGTCCTAGTCGCACTAAAAACCAACCCAATACACTGTTGGACAAAAAATATCCTTTCAATAATGGCAGAGAAAATCACCAGCCTCCAGAGCACAAGGTAATTTTAACTAATAACTATTGGTGTATATTACTTAAATTCTCGCGAGCGTAAAATCGATCTAAGAAATATGTGGTATGATTAGGTATGCAGTAGTGACTGGAGGGAACAAGGGAATAGGATATGAAACATGCAAGCAATTAGCAAGCAACGGAGTAGTGGTAGTGTTGACATCAAGAGATGAAAAAAGAGGGATTGAAGCTATGGAAAGGCTTAAAAAGGAGTTAGACATTACTGATCAGATCTTGTTTCATCAACTTGATGTTATGGATACACTTAGTATTTCTTCACTTGTGAACTTCATCAACACAAAATTTGGAAGGCTTGATATTCTGGTAACTACTATTCATATCACTGATGACTTATTTTTATTAAGATTAAGATGTTTAAAAGAAATGATATACCTCTAGTTTGAGTTACGATTCAAATATATTCCTACATTATTAAAAATATTTTAATGAATTGTCTAGTACAAAGATTGATAATGTAAGAATTAGTAAAATAGAAGTTAGTAATGCAAAGATTATCTTTTAATCAAATGTTGATTCGGGAACCACATACGATAAGCAATATTTTCAATAAGTAAAGTCTACCACAAGAAATACATCCTACCAAATTAAACATGAAAATACCAAAATATCTCTTGCGTCGATCTTCAATTTTGTGGTCCTTTATAGTAATTCCAAAATTAATACTCCTTCCGTTTTATTTTATATGAGATAATTTAACTCGATACGGAGTTTAAAATAAAAAGGAATAGTTTTAAAACTTGTGATACAAAAATGACTCATAGAAATCTATGTGGCTGGCTGTAAATCATTTTAATTAAGAGTATGAAGAATATTTTATAGCTAAATTGTTATTTAATATAAAATATGTCATTTATTTTTAAACTGACCCAAAAACAATAAAGGAAAATTGCATAAATTAGAACATAGAGTATATACATCAAACTCTCCCCTAATTTGAGGGGACATGTATGATTGGAAAACGTGTATTCTTTTTTTCTTTTAATTTTTTGACTTTCAAAAAAATGAGAATTTATGAATGCTTTAATTTGCAGGTTAATAACGCTGGGGTTGGTGGATCAATGATGGAAGAAAATTGTAATATTCTTACAATAAAAGATTTAATAGAAGGAGATTTCGTAACCATTTCTACTAAAAATGAAGTAATACAGATTATTTCATTTTCAAAAAAATAAATTATTATATTTATGTTATAACATAGTAGTACACATAGATTAAAGTTGATCGATATCAAAAATCGTTTAATTAATTACGTAGGTTGTGGACGAAAGTGTTGTGGAGAAATCAATTGAAGGTATCGCTACAAATTATGAGTTGACAAAGCAATGTGTAGAGACAAACTACTATGGTGCAAAAAGAATGATTGAAGCATTTGCTCCTCTCCTTCAACTCTCTAATTCACCAAGGATCGTTAATGTTGCTTCTTCCTTAGGAAAATTGAAGGTAATTAACTAAACACTTTATCTATTTATTTTTACTCATCCACTATACTATTTTGATATTGTACGATTGGTATTGAGTAATTTTCGATTTCCTATGTACAGTTATTGTGTAACGAATGGGCTAAAAATGTGCTAAGTGATGCAAAAAGCCTAACAGAAGAAAGGATAGAGCAAGTGTTAAATGAATTTCTCAAAGATTTTAGAGAAAATTCAGTTGAATCCAAAGGATGGCCAACTTACTTTGCAGCTTACAAAGTGTCAAAAGCATCGTTGATTGCCTACACAAGAGTTTTAGGTTCAAAATATCCGAATTTTCGCGTTAATTCGGTGTGCCCTGGCTATTGTGGCACAGACATGACTGCATATACTGGAAGTTTAACTGCTGAAGAAGGTGCTGAAAGCTTGGTGAAACTTGCTTTGTTGCCAAATGATGGACCTTCTGGCCTCTTCTTTTACAGAAAGAATGTCACCTCTTTTTAAATATTTAGCTAATTCAACTATCAATAATTGTACCGATTCAGAAATTATAACGTTTAAATTCTTGTCAATTTTTTTTTCATCGTAACATTGTATTGCACACATTGAATTCTGTGAAGAAATGTTTGAAATTTTATGCTTTTAGGGAAAATGCACAAGTATCCCCTCGACTATGACTAAAATTCCAAAGACACATCTTACTAAAGTCGTATTATCCCCCTGAACTTTTTTTTTTTTTTGTTAATTTTGTGTACCTCTTTCGCTTACGTGACATTCAAATATCTCTGACGCGCCTCAACTGCGTGGAGTCACATAGACTGCCACATAAGACAAAAGTTGTATAAAATTACAAAAAAAAAAGTTCAGGGGTAATAGGACCTTAGTTTAGTTAACGTATGTCTTTGAAATTTTGGTCATAGTCTAGAAGATACTTGTACATTTTCCTTAATATTTATTAAGTTTTTTTTTCAACTAAAAGTATAAATATCTAAATAGAAATATTAGCCTAATTATTTTTATTTTGGACTCTCTTTATTTTTAAATTTTAATATTATATTATATTTTTAAATTAATTTTTATTGGCCCACGCCGAGCCAATCAATATTTCTTAAGCCTCCCAAATGAGCAAACTTATTCAAGGCGAGCTAAAAAACCTTTTTCTTAAATGGGCTTCAAAAATCTTAATTCAACCCTATTAAATTTTGAATTAGGTCAGACCAGCCCAACGAACCTAGCCTATATCGACGGCTCTTATAAAAACATATCTTTCAAACCTATTTAGAATTAGAATAGCTAAAACGTGTTGCTATTACCTGTACCACAGAATTTTGTCATATTTCAAAATATTTCAGAACAATGAGTTAATAGGTGGAGATGTCATTGATTACAACATCTCAATTAACACCAACAGTCAAGTTAAAATTTTGTGAATGCGTGGCTTGTAGCCATTATTACTCCCTCAATTCATTTGTAGTTGTTATGTTGTATTTTTCTTCTTAATTTGGTTGATTTTTAAAATGAAATTAAATTATATTAATTTAATATTTTTTTAAAAATTAAATATTTAAAAATAAAATTATGATAATATAAAATAAACAGAAAACATGATTTAAAAGTAGAAATAACAGTCTTCTTGTTCATTTTGCGTGCTTTTAATATTAATTGATGAGGCTGGGACCTGGACCTAACATATATAATACAGCTCTTCAAGAACAGGAAAATAATTCAAGTATGGAACCTGCAAACATATGGATTTGGCCGTTCTAAAGTTGGTATTAATTTTTAGTTAGATATCTTAATTAAGTTTAGTTTATTTTAGGCATCTCATCTCATGTCATTTTTTGTTGTGTCATCTTGACACTTTTTACTGACATGACATAGTGAGTATAATACACTCAATAGCAGTGGTGAAAGACTTATTTAATTATTTTTATTTTGTTTTATTTTCATTTTCTTTCACATTATTCAGTCACCATCTCTCAAAACTTAAACTTCTTCAATGGAGAAATAGTGTTGACGATGCTATAGACAAAAAAAGCGAATTTCAACATGAAGAGAATTCACAAAAGATAAATTTCAACCCGTTAAAAAGTCATGATTCATGTTGTCGCAAAGAAAAAAGGACAATGAAAAAACTTTTAAAAGACCGTGGGTGGGAATGGGAGAGGGGTGGAGAAGACGATATGGGTGGGGAAGGGATTGGGGTTAGGGTGGGCAAAGATGTAGAAGATGTTGGGTGGGTGGGGAACAATAAAGAAAACGATTTGAGTGGGTGGACGGAGAAGATGACCTTGGTGGGCTTGGTTTTTTTCTTTGAATTTTTTGTGTAAAAAATTTCACATGTCATTAAGTCATTAAGATATGAGTCTTCTTTTTAAGTTTGTTAAGAGTACATTACAGGTCTGATTCATTCAGATATATTTAAATCCATTAAGAGACTTATAAAGAAATAAAACAAACAAACTTAATAAACTGAATCTGAATAAATAAAATTCAATTCTCAAAAATTACACTCTTTAATAAAACAAATTTGAATGACTAAGATTCACACTCGGTAATTATAAACACCGGAGGCCTAACACAAACAAATGAGTAATAGTCTAAGAGCATATAGTTTGAAAAATTATTATACATATATCTAAAAGGGAATGTCTGACTTGTCAAAACAAAACTCTAACCAGTAGTTGAGTAACACCAACAAGTTCTACTTGGAAGACTTGGATATAGAATTCATCTAAGTGACGTAGGGTTAGGAGTTTAAAGAAAAATATTACAAGGTACTGTGGGTTCGAACTAACAATAATAATGCGAAAATATTTTTACCGTCAACTTTTATTATTAAGTTGACAATAAATTTTATTATGAAATTTATAAAATGCTTGTGAATTTTGTCCAAACCCATCAATCCCTATCTAGCTCCATGTTTACGTGCTGATGAAATATCCTTTGGAACATCATATTTGACTAATAAATTCTACGATTGACATGGACATGAGGAATAGAGCAAAACATAGTTAGCTGGCCTCTATTATTATATATTATAGGGATAATGCCCAAGTATCCCTCAACGTATGTCCGAAATCTCAGAGACACACTTATACTATACTAAGGTCCTATTACCCCTGAACTTATTTTATTAATAATTTTTTACCCCTTTTTAGTCTACGTGGCACTATCTTGTGGGCCCAGTGATGGTTGTCTTTTTTTTTCAAACTAGTGCCACGTAAGCTAAAAAGGGTAGAAAATTACTTATAAAATAATTTCAGGAGGTAATAGACCTTAGTATAGTATAAGTGTGTCTCTGAGATTTCGGGCATAGGTTGAGAGCTACTTGTACATTTTCCCTATATTATATAATTGTATCTTCTGCACAAATTGTACCAAACCAATACACTGTTAGACCAAAAGGGTAAATATCAAGAATTTAGAACTAACAATTATCCTTTAAAAAATGGCAGAGGAAATCAGCACCCTCCAAAGCAAAAGGTAATTTAAATTATGAGTAGCTAATCTTTTTACTATCAGTGTATATAATTTAAATTTTGTTACGCATATCTGAGCAATACTAATACTGGTATATGGTATGATCAGGTATGCAGTAGTGACTGGTGGAAACAAAGGAATAGGATATGAAACATGCAAGCAATTAGCAAGCAAAGGATTAGTGGTAGTGTTGACATCAAGAGATGAAAAGAGAGGGATTGAAGCTATTGAAAGGCTTAAAAAGGAGTTAAACATTACTAATAATAATGATCACATTTTGTTTCATCAACTTGATGTTATGGATCCAGCTAGTATTTCTTCTCTTGTGGACTTTATCAACACAAATTTTGGAAGGCTCGATATTCTGGTAAGTAATATTTATCACTCCATCACTTTCGTATTCTTTAAAGAAATGAGAAATTATGAATACTTCAAATTTGCAGGTTAACAACGCAGGGGTTAGTGGATTAATGGTGGAAGGAAATCTTGTTATACTAAAAAATTTAATTGAAGGAGATTTCGAGACCATTTCTACTGAAAATCAAGTATGAATTTTAATTTCTATTAATAAAATTACGTTTTCAAAAGTTATTAAAGTTGATCGATACCTAAAATCGTTTAATTAATTATGTAGGTTGAGGACGAAAGTGTTGTGGAGAAATCAATTGAAGGTATCGTTACAAATTATGAGTTGACAAAACAATGCATAGAGACAAACTTTTATGGTGCAAAAAGGATGAGTGAAGCATTTATCCCTCTCCTTCAACTCTCTAATTCACCAACGATTGTTAATGTTGCTTCTTTCTTAGGAAAATTGAAGGTAATTAACTAAAATACTTTATCTGTTTATTTTTACTTGTCCACTGTACTATTTTGATATTATTTGTACAATTGTATTGAGTGATTTTCGATTTCCTATGTACAGTTATTGTGTAACGAATGGGCTAAAAAAGTGCTAAGTGATGCAAAAAGCCTAACAGAAGAAAGGATAGAGCAAGTGTTAAATGAATTTCTCAAAGATTTTATAGAAAATTCAGTTGAATCCAAAGGATGGCCAACTTACTTTGCAGCTTACAAAGTGTCAAAAGCATCGTTGATTGCCTACACAAGAGTTTTAGGTTCAAAATATCCGAATTTTCGCGTTAATTCGGTGTGCCCTGGCTATTGTGGTACAGACATGACTGCATATACTGGAAGTTTAACTGCTGAAGAAGGTGCTGAAAGCTTGGTGAAACTTGCTTTGTTGCCAAATGATGGACCTTCTGGCCTCTTCTTTTACAGAAAGGATGTCACCTCGTTTTGAACATTTGGCTAATTCAACTTTTAAGTAATAACTTATTATCAATCAACTGCTCCATAAGAAATAAGTCGGGTTGGTTGTATGAATTATTTGTCTATTCAGCTAGATTATGTTTTATTCTTACTTGTACTACTTTCATTGCAAACAACAGGCCTACTATAAGTGTCATGTTGCTCAGACACTTCTAAAGAAAAGTTGAACTTGAGTCTGAATCCAAAAATAATAGTATGGTGCTTGTGTTTGATACTCAAAAGATATGATATTATTGTGCTTGTTATGTAGTGGAGCCTGATTTATTTTAGGTTTTCCTATTTATTCTCTGTAACCAAAATACTCTGATTTATTAATATAAATATACCTCACTGCCGTGGAAGTTTACTCACGGGGTTTTACCACGAAATATTGGGTTTTCTCTCTCTCTCTCTAGATTTCTCATCTCTTTCTCTAGAAAATTCTTGTGTTCTTCATTCATCTAGTGCGTGTGCGTGAATTCGATCCTAACAATTGGTAAGGAGATTCAACACGATCACTGAAGATGGATAGTTCAAAGCTTGGAATCGAGAAGTTTGATGGATCCGATTTCAGTTTCTGGAAGATGCAGATCGAAGATTATCTGTACCAGAAAGATCTTCACGAACCGTTGACCGGGGTGAAGCCGAAATCCATGACGGAGGAGAAGTGGAAACTCAAGGATCGCCAGGCTTTAGGGTTGATCCGGTTGACTTTGTCAAGAAACGTGGCGTTCAACATCATGAAGGAGAAGACTACGTCCGGTCTGTTGAAGGCACTGTCAAACATGTATGAAAAACCATCGGCTATGAACAAGGTATATTTGATGCGTAGATTGTTCAATTTATAGATGTCTGAAACTGGATCGGTTTCTGATCATATAAACGAGTTCAATATGATTGTGAGTCAACTTAATTCTGTGGATATTAATTTCGAAGATGAAATTAAGGTGTTGATTTTGATGTCATCTCTGCCCGATTCTTGGGATACTGTTGTTGCTGCGATTAGCAGTTCCCGTGGATCTGAGAAACTGAAGTTTGATGAAATCCGTGATGTTGTTCTTAGCGAAAGTATTCGCAAACGAGAAGTGGGAGATTCATCGGGCAGTGCTCTCAGCGTTGATCGAAGGGGGAGAAGTAAGACGAAAGGGCAAAATCAACATGGTCGATCAAAATCAAAGAATCGAGGAAAATCCCTGAACAGATCAAACGTGACTTGTTGGAACTGTGGAGAAAAATGGCACTTTCGGACGAACTATACAAAGCCAAAGAAGAAACAGAATTAGAAATTTAGAGATGACAATGATTCTGTAAATTCAGCAGAGGACATAGGGGATGCTCTAATCCTTAGTGTGAACAGCCCGGTTGAATCATGGATTTTGGATTCTAGTGCATCTTTCCATTTGTCTCCAAGCAAGGAGTTGTTCCAAAACTTCAAATCTGGAAATTTTGGAAAAGTATATCTTGCTGACAATAAAGCCTTAGAGATTGAAGGAAAGGGGGATGTTTGCATAAAGACCACCTCAGGAAACCAGTGGACATTAGAGGATGTCAGATATATTCTTGGGGTCAAGAAAAATCTGATCTCTGTTGGACAGTTGGATAGCACGTGATATGCAGCAGAGTTTGGGAAAGGTTCGTGAAATATCGTGAAAGGTGCTATGGTAGTAGCTCGTGGCACCAAATCTGGAACCTTGTACACCACTATCGGGTGTATAAACATGGACGCTGTTGCTGAAGGTGCTTCCGGTTCATGTCTGTGGCATAACAAACTTGGACACATGAATACTAAAGGAATGAAGATGCTGGTTGCAAAAGGAGCATTAGAGGGTCTGAAGTCTGTTGATATGGGTCTTTGCGAGAGCTGTGTTATGGGCAAACAGAAAAGAGTAAGTTTCACAAAGACTTCTAGAGAGCCAAAGAAAGTGCGGTTGGAAATGGTCCATACAGATGTATGGGGACCATCTCCAGTATCATCACTTGGAGGATCCAGATTCTATGTTACCTTCATTGATGATTTCAGCAGGAAGGTATGGGTTTACTTCTTGAAGCATAAGTCAGATGTGTTTGAAACTTTCAAGAAGTGGAAAGCTGAAGTTGAGAATCAGACCGGTTTGAAAGTAAAATGCCTAAGGTCTGACAATAGAGGAGAGCATGACAAATTAGAGTTCAAGGCATTCTGTGCAGCTGAGGGATTCAGATTGATGAGAACAGTTCCTGGTAAGGCAAGACAGAATGGAATTGCTGAGAGGATGAACAGAACATTGAATGAGCATGCAAGGAGTATGAGGATACATTGTGGGCTGCCCAAAACACTTAGGGCGGATGCTGTGAGCATAGTTGCATACTTGATCAACAGGGGACCATCAATTCCTTTAGGGTTCAAGATTCCAAAGGAGGTGTGGACAGGAAAAGAACTCAAGTACTCACACTTGAGGACTTTTGGTTGCACTGCTTATGTTCATGTTGATCCAGAAAAGAGAGACAAAGCTTGATGCCAAGGCTGTGAAGTGTTACTTCATAGGATATGGTTCTGATTTGTTTGGTTACAGATTTTGGGATGACAAGAACAGAAAGATCCTGAGAAATTGTGACGTGACATTTGATGAGTCTGTCCTGTACAAGGACAGAGAGCAGAAGGTTCTAGAGATTACAAAGCAAGTGGGAGTTGAGGTTGAGTTGGAAAAAAGTAACCCCGGAGATGTCGAAGCAGATACTCAACCAACTCCTACTGAAGAATCTGAAGTGGAGCAAGTTACACCTGAGCAGGTGTTAAGGAGATCATCCAGATCCATCAGGGCACCAGATAGGTAGCACCTTCATTACACTATGTATTGCTGACTGATGAGGGGGAACCAGAGTCTTTTGATGAGGCCCTACAGGTGGAGGATTCGATCAAGTGGGAGCAAGCCATGGATAATGAGATGAGGTCACTTGAGAAGAATGACACATGGGTGTTGACTGAGTTACCTGCAGGGAAGAGAGCTTTGCTGAACAAGTGGGTGTTTAGAATCAAGATTGAACCAGATGGCAAAAGAAGGTTCAAGGCTCGTTTAGTGGTTAAAGGATATTCACAAAAGAAAGGTATTGATTATGCTGAAATATTCTCTCATGTTGTGAAGTTAACCTCTATTCGAATTCTATTGAGTATTGTTGCATCGGAAAATTTGCATCTAGAGCAAATGGATGTAAAAACAGCATTTTTACATGGAGATCTGGACAAAGAGATCTATATGCAGCAACCGGAAGGATTTGTGGTTCCAGGCAAGGAACACATGGTGTGAAAGCTCACCAGGAGCTTGTATGGACTAAAGCAAGCACCAAGGCAGTGGTACAAGAAGTTTGACTCCTTCATGACCAAGAGTGGATTCTGCAAAGCTGAAAAGGATCCTTGTTGTTACTTCAAGAAATACACTGATTCATATGTCTTTCTACTCTTGTATGTGGATGATATGTTGATTGCAGGATCTAGTATGAGGGAGATTAACAATCTGAAGACAAGGTTGTCTGCAGCGTTTGAGATGAAAGATTTGGGTCCAGCAAAACAGATTTTGGGGATGAAGATTTCTCGGGTTAGATCTGCTGGCACTTTAAATCTATCTCAGGAGTTGTACATTGAGAAGGTGCTGAGCAGATTCAGGGTTAATGATGTTACACCCAGGACTACTCCATTGGCAAATCACTATAAATTGTCAAAGGAGCAGTCACCTAAGACTGCCGAGGAGCGTGATCACATGGCATTTGTTCCATATGCTTCAGCAGTTGGTAGTTTGATGTATGCTATAGTCTGCACTAGACCTGATATAGCACATGCAGTGGGAGTAGTTAGCAGGTACACGGAGAACCCTGGGAAAGAGCATTGGGAAGCTGTGAAGTGGCTTCTGAGATATCTGAGAGGTACATCCAGTACTTCACTTTGTTTTGGCAAAGGCAAGGTGACTCTACAGGGTTTTTTGGATGCTGATCTTGGTGGGGATGTTGACTCGAGCAAGAGTAAATCCGGGTACATTTACACCATAGGTGGAACAACAGTGAGTTGGATGTCCAGGCTTTAGAAGTGTGTTTCTCTTTCATCTACTGAAGCTGAGTATGTGGCAATAGCTGAAGCTGGGAAAGAGATGATATGGCTGGCAGATTATCTTGAGGAATTGGGCAAGAAGCATAGCGAGAAGATTCTTTACTCAGATAGCCAGAGTGCCATACAGTTGGTGAAAAATCCAGTCTATCATTCGAAGACAAAGCACATCAGAAGGCGATACCATTTCACTCGCAGGGCAGTGGAGGATGGTGATATGTGCTTGGAGAAGATAGAGGGTGCAAAGAACCCGGCAGACATGTTGATGAAATGTGTTGATGTTGGGAAACTGAGGTTATGTAAAACCTCGGTTGGTCTTCTGTAATTGTTGCTACAGATGTTGCGGTGCGGTAAAGATTTTGATGATGAAGAGATTTTTTTTGAGAATGTATTTTTTGGATGACTGAGTAAGTCTCCAAGTGGGAGAATTGTTAGGTAGTGGAGCCTGATTTATTTTAGGTTTTCCTATTTATTCTCTATTTTAGGTTTTCCTATTTATTCTCTGTAACCAAAAATACTCTGATTTATTAATATAAATATACCTCACCGCCGTGGAAGTTTACTCACTGGGTTTTACCACGAAATATTGGATTTTCTCTCTCTCTCTCTAGATTTCTCATCTCTTCCTCTAGAAAGTTCTTGTGTTCTTCATTCATCTAGTGTGTGTGCGTGAATTCGATCCTAACAGTGCTTGTGTTTGATCACTTTTAGAAGGATCATGTTGGAAAAATATAATCAATTTGTGCTCTAAATTATGTTTTTAGTCCAATCAAAATATAACTATTCAAGGTGTTCCTTAAGAAAATAACACATTATATGAGATAAGACGAGTGTTGAATTAAAATATTCAATAAAAAATAATAATGAAATTGTATGAAATAAATATTATAAATTAGTAAGTTATAATATGAAAATGATCATAATTTAAAAGTAGTAAATCATGCTAAAATAAGTCTAGTAAGTATTGTTTACATGATTAGACATTAAAGAAAAAATAAAATTAGGTTATGTATATACAATGTCCAAACCATGTAAAATTAAGGATCAAATATTCAACAATATTGTCATCCTTAGTGTTGTTTTTTTGGTGTTAGCATTAGTGTTAATTTCATTTTAAATTGAGCTTAATTAGAATCACTAATATTTATGGACTATATGTAACATTTATTGAACCATACAAAATTTTAAGTCTTA